TGGTAATAGCATTGAAATATGTCAGAAATACATGAGCTATTCCCAAATGGTAGACATAATCAGCTAGATAATATTTTTTAGTAGCATGTAGTTCTTTCTGTAGAAAGGGGATGAAGCCCCTCTGTACATCAGTATCTGAACTTAACAATTACTTGGGAGATCACCAGAGTACGAGGGGGAAAGGTTGTGTGTGCACATGCATGTAACATAAGTAATTAAAACATCATGTCTAATGAAAAAGGGTACCTGGATTTGCAAGTGAGGAGAAATGACTTTGAATCATTGGAGTATTGTGAAAATGTTATTAATCTTGTTCAGTGTTTTTTAAATGAGCAATGTTTTTGATGTTTTGGAAAGAGAGGTTTGAAAATAACTAATGATATGTCATTTTCACTGGGTTAAATTGATAGCATTTATAATGTATTTATTTTGCATATTCATTCTGGTAATTGGAAACACTCACAATGTTGAGTGTAATTAAAAGAATGAGAATAGACTTGAATTTGTATTTAGAAAGTCCGAAATATATTCCTGGTTTGAGGAAGACTGCATATGAGAATGTTCTATCGGAGAAACCGCTCTAGAAGCGTATGGGCTGGGTGACTCAGTTTTGCTTTGAAAAGGCCTGGGTGAAACGATGCTACCTGGTTTTTATTCGTGTAGAAAGCGATGCATGCCTGGAAAGGTGATGGCCGCTTTTAGAATTTACTCCCAAGATATGGCAATTTGCATTACACTTGGATTTAATTTCTCTGCTGTTGTCCCTACAGAGAAAGAATGGCTGTATTATGCTGTATTAGAGTGCTGTTTTCTCTTTGACATGGGCACACCAATGCTAATGTGTGAAAACAAAAAATTTAAACACACACAAATTGCCAGTACCTTAATTTTATATTACAGTATTCACATAGTCATATTGTTGTCTGTATTTTTATGGTGGAATTTGCAAATGACTGGTTCACTATTTGTGCAGTTGTTAGTCTGGAGCTTTGAGTTTTTACTTTCAAAAACAGTATAGACTTTGAAAAATTTCTAAAAATTAATTATTTTTTTTTGTTATACTTTAACCTTGTTCTAGCCTGCATCAAGTTACAAAATGATTGTGTTCACCCTTTCACAGGTGGAAATGCTAGAACGGAAATATGGAGGCCGTCTCATAACTAGACATGCTGCTCGTACTATACAAACAGCTTTTCGCCAGTATCAGATGAACAAAAATTTTGAACGTCTTAGAAGTTCTATGTCTGAAAATCGTATGTCAAGACGCATTGTACTGTCCAATATGAGAATGCAGTTTTCCTTTGAAGGACCTGAGAAAGTCCACAGCTCTTACTTTGAAGGAAAACAAGTTTCTGTTACAAATGATGGGTCAAAGCTGGGCTCCCTGGTACAGTCTGAATGTGGCGACCTTGGAGAGCAAGCTGCAATGAAGTCTCCAGCAGCATCTACTGATTTTGCTGATGCTATAACAGAACTGGAGGATGCTTTTTCCAGGCAAGTGAAATCCCTTGCAGAGTCCATTGATGATGCACTGAATTGCCGTAGTCTACATTCTGATGAAGTCCAGACTCCGGATCAAGTCAGAAGTCGTGAAATGGAAAGGGATACTTGTGCTCAAACCAAACCAGCAATTCACAATGTGGATCACAGGAAGCTCGATGAGATGACAGCATCATACAGTGACGTTACGTTATACATTGATGAGGAAGAGTTATCGCCACCCCTTCCACTTTCCCAGTCAGTAGACAGACCGTCCAGCACAGAATCTGATTTGAGGCTTCGGTCTGTGAACTCTTCTCAAGAGTACTGGTCCATGACCCACAAAGATGATAAGATAGACACTGATACAAGCTGCAGGAGTACCCCGTCACTGGAATGTCAGGAACAGAGGATGCGAATGGATCATCTACCATTGCTGACTATAGAGCCACCCAGTGACAGTTCAGTGGACTTGAGCGATCGCTCAGAGAGAGGCTCATTAAAGAGACAAAATGCATATGACCGAGGGATCACTAGTCAACAAGGAAGCCCAAAACACATCCCTCACAGTATTCCTGCCAAGATTGTAACCCGAGAGGAACAGGAGGCAAGACACAGGGCTAGGCCTATAGATAGTCATTTAGCTATCAATGGCACTGCAAACAGGCAAAGCAAGTCAGAGTCTGATTATTCTGATGGAGACAATGACAGCATCAACAGCACTTCCAACTCTAATGATACAATAAATTGCAGCTCAGAATCTTCTTCTAGAGACAGCCTAAGGGAGCAAACCTTGAGCAAACAAACATACCACAAAGAAACTCGCAACAGCTGGGATTCCCCTGCCTTCAGTAACGATGTTATCAGGAAACGCCATTATAGGATTGGACTGAACCTTTTTAACAAGTGAGTACAGAGTTTCATCCTTTCGTCTCTCTGTTTGGTAGAAAGCCACCGAAACAGGAATATTTTTCTTGTATCAAGATAAGTAAGACTAGTGTCTGATACTGGCTTTTCAGTGTAAAAATGAGCTGCTTGTGGTGACTGTTCATGTTAGAGTGTTTACAAGCTGGTATCTTCTTAGTTAACATCAGGGGAAAATAAAAAATAGAATTATGTGTATATATATATATATGGTATTAAACTATTGAAGAGGATGCATTTGACTACTTTCTAATTGAAAAACATAGTGGCTTAATCCTGATCCATTTTTGGTGTTGTAACAAATTCTAATTTCTTCCTGCCCTAATCATGTAGGTATTGTAAAACTTGTCGTATGGGAATTAGAAATAACAAGCAGCGTAAGATGAGTTTCCTGTTTAACACAGGCAGGGCCTCAGATCTGTTCAGCAGACCTCATCAAAACTTTGATACTAAAAAACAGTGCACTGAATGTTTTTATGCTAAATAAATATTTATTATTTATCATAAAATTATAATAAGATATTTCTGCCTATGACTTAATTTTCCCATGTATGGAGTTGTTTAAAACTTTTATAAAATAACTTTCTGAAGTTTCTTTGTTTTATTGAAGTACTTTCTTCTTTGGACCCTCTCATGTGTCTGTAGAAAACCATGAATATTACGATAGAGGGTATCAAATGATATACTGCTTAAACTCTGTATTCGCATTACAGGAGTTACACAGATCTCATTAGAACTATCATAACCAGCAGATAAGAACAGCTAGGTGGTTGGCATTAGAATTCCTAGCTTTTCTTCACTGCTCGGTTGATGCCTGGTGTGCCAATTTCCCTTCCCTAGTGTGGGTATCATTTACACAAACCTTTTCTGGTGCCAGTGCTTGTAAAGCTCCTCAGAACACTTAGATGAAAGATGCTAAGTGCCAGAATTTATTCCTCTTTTTCTTTAAAATACAGTGTATAAGATTTTGAAATTTTCTACAGAGTACTTCAGGATTTCTCTATGAAAATTTTGTAGCTTCTGAAGAGCTCATAGGTATTTCAGTGTGCTGCCACAGACCGTGCTTCACAGTCTCCTACAGGCTGAATGAGTTCAGCCCTCTTTTCAGCTAACATGCTGTCTTCTGTTTTATTTGCATTAATAGGTCATCATAATATGGTATAACATTGCAGATAATTAAAGCTTTTTGTTGCCATCAGGTGAGGCTGCGCATTACAATGCTAAGTATGGATTGGCCAGGTTTGGCTGTAAAAGCTTTCAGGTTTGTTTTTTTATCTTTGTAAAAGGTTAATGGGCCATTACAGAAGTTTTTAACCAACTGGAAGTATGCAAGTCATACTATGTCTGCAGCTTTTACTGCTCATGAAGTAGACTGGGTAGGAAGATATATCAATTTGCCTTTTTTAGAAAATCTGAAAACACTAACATTGTTGGTGTGGGGGCTGAGGAGGAAGGTGCTGGTACTGTTTGGCTGACTTGGTGTTTGCTCATTGTTTTGCAGAGTAATTAAGCCTCAAAAAGTCAATGATCAGTGAACTTCAGCCTTGATGATACAGTCTTGTGAGTCAATTGCAGAAGGGTGTAAGAAAAAAAGGTGAATGGAAAAAGTGCTCAAGCAGCATGCAGAGATGAATGAGAGTGCTGGAAGATGTCAGATGCTTCTAGTCACATGTCATATCAGTAGGAGGCTGAAAGTGAAAAATAAACATCAGGAATAGAGAAGAATAGAGACTTATTTGAAACATCTAAGCTATCTTGCTGCATGGACTTGAACAGAGATAAACCTTTATTATATATTGGCTGATTGTAAGATGGCTCACAGTTTCTTAGCAGTGCCTTTTAAGAGACAGCGCTGTGCAGAACTCCGGGCAGCACCTCAGTGTGTGATCTTTTGCTGTGTGCAATTGTTTTGTTCCCCCTCCGCATTTTATCTGCAGTATTGATAACAGAACTGAAGATTCTCATTACCTTGTGCCGAGTCACTTTGAATCTACTGATAGCTCAGACAGTTCCCAAGTATCCCATGTATCTTGGTTTTGATTGTGGCTCTCTTAAGTCCACAGATTGTGACATTTCATTAATAGCCTTTCTTCGCCTCTGTGCAATGTCAGGTATTGAACCATCATAGAATGTGATGGTGCATGGGTCAGTAAACTCTTCTGAAAGCGAGCTGGGAAACTTCCTAAGCTTTATTCTTTAAAAAGTTCAGAAGGAGACTCTTGAGAATATATCAGTGGGATTGTGTTTTGTGAGGGAAGTGAAGGGACAGAGGTGGTGTTCAGGCACTTCTCGGGGTTTACTGGTGATGATTTCTTCAGTCATCTTTTTTCCTTTTATATGTGTGGTGTACGGGTGCATTTGTTTCAGTTAACTTCTGAGCATTATGCTCATTGTTCTCAACACATGAAGTATGTCATAGCAACTTATGTGTCCAAATGTTTTTTGAAAAGCAAGCCACATCCTAGATATTGGTTTCCTTGGCAAAGGCTGCTATTTCACATGCAGAACAATGTAAAGGAGGATTCCCAACCTGGGTAGACATGGGCCAGAATGGGGGTCTGCAGGCCAGATGGAGTTGCTGCTAATCAGTCCCAGCTTCACAGTTTCTCTCTCATGACATGGCAAAAATACAACTGCTCGGCATCTCATATGAGCAAGGGTCTGCCTATGCTTCAGTCACATGTTGCAAACTGCTTGTGCTTCCCATCTTGGGACCAGATGTGCACCTGTGATACGGTGGGATACATTTTAGTCTGCTCTCCAGTGTTCAAGGCAATGCAGCAGAATCATTTAGATGTCTTTTGATCACGTGACATTTATGATCTTAAAATAGGGACCAGCACAAGTCTTGGCAGTGAGCTCCTGAGAGGATGTGTGCTCCACCCGTGCAGAAGGACGGTGCACAGAGTTGAGAGAAGTGGCTTTGAAGTTACCTATTACAAGAAGTTTCTTCCCAATGGCTGCATCTACCAGAGGAAATTTTAGGAATGTCTTTTACAAGAAGTTCATGTTTGAAATCTTTCTTGCAAATTAAGATCCCAAACCTTAATCAACAAATAATCATGTAATTTCGTTCTGGTACATGAAGCTTGGCTGAAATGCAAAGAGTTTAGAATCTTAACGAAATGCATTGTAGTAGAGGAAATACTTCTGCTTTGTTCACTAGGAGTGTTGTAAGAATGAAGTTTTAAAAAGCATGGAAAGTCACTATCCTCACAGTTGAAATTTCAACAAATGCTTTAAAATTTTTCTGGCTTTTCTATTACAATAATAATTTTCAGAAGCCAGAGTGCAGTTTTCTTACCAGAGGCCCTTTATTAGAATAGTCAGTTATGGGTGGAGTAGAAGTTGAGCACGACTGGTGGTCTAGTTCACTTAATCGCCATTATATGCAAAACATTAGTAGCACAAAGGTCCGTGGAGAAAGGAGAACACAGGACAGTAGAGGAAAAAAACTGTAAGTAATTGAAAACCATTTATTCTAGGAGTTTTAGCACGTTATCATAGAATTTGTTTCAAACTATAACTTGGCATTCAGTTTTGGAACCTTAGTGCTGGTTAAAGAAATACGGTTTTTTAAAGCTGTTTTGTGGTATCCACTATACTAGAACATAAAGTATCACCCAAATTGAATGATTTCTGCCAAAGAAATTGTAACTAAGAGCTTCTGTACGTTCTCCTGTTTTTGAATGGCAGTAGTGATTTCACCCTGTCAATAGGCTGTCAGATGGTGTGTTACCATTCATTGCCTTCCTAAAGGAAGGATTGCAGGTGCATGCCCAGAGTGCGGGGGCTCCCAGGGAAGCTTGGCGAGGCCAGCTGTGTTGAATCAGGCATTTTCTTCAGAGTAGTTTGAATGGGTTGTAGTCTGAGAGAAATTACACTAGAAACCATTCCTTCCTTATAGGCAGAAGGAAAACACTACCTAGAAAGGTTTATTTTGCAGGCTCCAAACCCTGCCAATGCAAATCCAGCCTTTGAGACTGGTTTGCTTATAAACAAGGCTTCAAGAGGGCTTTTGACTGCTGCTTTTTAAAAAAAAAAAAAAAAAAAAAAAAAAGTAAAAAGGGCTGTGATTTTATTCTCATGTTTGTTTTGACTGCAGGCTGGAAATACCAGGTTTACCAGTTATTGCAGCCCAATCTGGTAGGATTTTCAGGTTCCATTCTGCTGCTGGTGCACTGATGGCTCTAACAGATTAAATAGGACCAAATGGCTTAAATGCAGCAGTCTGAGGAAACACGTCCTGCCCTTGGGTCAACTTTGCAGTCAGTAGTAGCAGACTGTGATTCTGTGCAGAGCTGTGCGTGTGTAGGAAGCAGTATAGTGCCGTATTGTGCCACTGTGATGGTGGCAGTACCTCTGGCTCCTTGCCAAGTATGTGGCTTCCAGGTATGTTTGTTAACAGCACTGCCCTCAGTTACTGTGTCCTGAAACTGCAGGGACACACCCAACTGGGCCATGTTGAATAGAGTACAGTGTAGTGATTATTCAGCTTTCTCTTGGAGAGGGGATGCAGATACTTTCTGTGTTAATAAAGTATTTGCAACAAATCTTGGACAGCATCAGAGTGGCTTGAAAATTTGATGCGACTGTGCCTAGTATGATAAAATATGCAAGATAAAAGTTTGCGTTTCTCAGACTCATTTCTTAATCTAGCAGAGACTAGAGTCATATTTAGTATCTCCTTTGGGACATCAGATATTGGAAGACCCTGTTAGACATCCTGTCGTCTGGCAGCGTTCCTGTGGCATTGTGATTCCTTGTCATGGGAGCCAGTCTTTGCTGGTGCCAGTTTGTGATATTACTGGTGAAGAGAGCCTGTGAAGTACAGCTCGTGGGCCATTTGTACCCTGGCGCTCTGCTTTTTATGCTGTGGTATAATTTTGTTGAGGGCTCTTTTTGTGTAGTGTTTCGTTGAAAGTTTTATGGCCTACTCTTGAAAGTACGTATTGGAGGTGAATGAACATAACACCACTTTA